TGTGTGTGTGTGTGTGTGTGTGTGTGTGTGTGTGTGTGTGTGTGTGTGTGTGTGTGTGTGTGTGTGTGTGTGTGTGTGGTGAAACAGGACACACACACACACACACACACACAGAAGGTGCACACGAACATCGATGTGGAATATACAGCAGGTACGGAAGAAGGTACAAGGTGAGGTTTGCCTAGCAACACTGAAATCCACCGAGGAGGAGTAGAACGTGCATGCGGCATGTGTGCGTGTGTGCATAATATGTGCGTGCGTATGCACGTATGTGCTCGTGTGCGTATCAACAGCCCTCCTCCTGTTTCTCTTTTCATCTCTCAGGTCAGGTCCACTTGACGTTCTTGATGATCTCGACGCCGAGGGATGCTGGGTGGAAGGCCTGGTCAACCCACAGCGGATACGACGGCCGGCGCGTGGACGTGTAGAAGACGGACCCGTTGTGCACATACTCCACGACGCTGCGGTGCTTGCTCTCCTGCCGCACGCGAATGGAAAACGTGTCGCCGGGCCGATACGAGATGAACGGGCCAACCTCATCCTCACACTCGCGCGCCGTCGCCTGTGTGTGTGTGTGTGTGTGTGTGTGTGTGTGTGTGTGTGTGTGTGTGTGTGTGTGTGTGTGTGTGTGTGTGTGTGTGTGTGTGTGTGTGTGTGTGTGTGTGTGTGAGGATGAGTCAGTCATATGTGGGCGTGTTGGACGATTACAAACCCCCCCCCCAATCATCAAGCTATGAATCCCCTCCACCCGCTTCCCTAAACAAACACGTACACACGCACACAAAAACATTCACAGACCTTGCCGGAGCCCCTGCAGAAGATGCAAAAGTCAATATCGTTGTAGTGGAGGTCCTTGTCGCCGTGATAGTTGTTCAGCACGTTGCTCAGTCCCACGAAGAACCACTGCACCGCCACAGCAACGCCACCACATCAAGCCAGGACATGCATGTGAACTCGAGCAGGATGTGACAGGACACACAATACACACGCTTCGTGATCTGTCCATTCCGCTGCACACCCACAACACTCACGCACACCCACGCGCACACACACACACAACACTCACACAACACACACACACGCACGCACACGCACACAGAGGCGCACCTCGCTCTGTTGGCAGGGCTGGAAGGTGATGCCCTTGACCTTGCCCTGGCCATTCAAGCACGTGTGGGAGATGCGAATGAACCCTTCGTCCCCTGGCGGCGGCGGTGGCGCTGTGTCGGACCGCATGGGAGATGCGTGTGCCAGCCGCAACCGCGCGTCGTCGCTGTCTGCGGATGTGTTGGCGCCAACACCACCGCTCACCTCATCGTACGCGTGGTGGCCCTTCAGCGACATGAACACGTCTGTGTTTGGGTCGTCGACGACCGTGTCCATCGACACGTTGTTCGCCTGCGCGTAGTACACTGAGGGCGGAGACGACACGCCAATGTTGTCGTAGCCCGTGGCATCTGCAAACGCGCTGCGGTAGGGCGGGCTGGTGGTACCCACGCCGTAGTCGCCCGTGGCGGCATGGCCCAGGTCGTAGCTGACGTTGGGCGTTGCCTCCTGTATTTGCACATCGGCCATGACCTCGAGGTACTCTTCCCTGTCGAGGGCGCGCGGCTGCAGCAAACACGGAAGGTACCGCGGTTTCCCAGACGCAAGCTGGTCTATCAGGTCCGACAGGCACGCGCACGACCTGCACCGCCGGTCCTTCTTCGCGCTCTGCGTGGCCGTCGTCGTGGCATGAATGTACAGCCCGTCCTCATCGTTCTTGATTGGCACGTTCACCAGCGCTCCTTTGTGCAGGAGCGTCAGCATCGCAAAGTCGAGGCCGGAGGACGTGACGACAAATGCGCCGTCCTCCAGGCGATCCGCATTCTCCTCCAGCAACAGCATGGCGTCCTCCTTATCAAACGCCAAGCAGTACCACGGGCTGTCGCGCGCGTCGTCGTCCAGCAGCACGCTCAGGGACCCGAGCACCTTCTTCTTGGGACGCGCGCTCTTGTGCCGGATGGACCGCCACGGGTTTGTGTGTGACGGCGTGAGGGCGGTCATTTCCAGCTTGGGCGCGCTGGGCTCAATCTCCGCGTAATCGGCGTTGACGCGCGAGTAATTGGACACAATGCTGGCATTGGTTTGCGATGGATCCTCTGCTTCTTCCTCTGCGCGCCTTCCTTGCCTGTGTGCCGACCTCTGGTGTTGGTTCTGGGACCGCTGTGTGCTGGACTGCCGCCTTCCATGCCAGCTGTTGCTGCTGCTTCTTGCCGCATCCATTGCACCGTTGTTGTTGTCATTGCTATTGTCGTCATCGAAGGAAATGCCTTTGGAAACGGTGGCGCGGCGGCCAGTTCTCGACGGTGAGCCGTGCTCACTCCTTCCCTTCTTCTTCTTCGATCCGCTGTTTCCCATGCTGCTGGCTGGCTGGGGATGGTGGTGTGAGGAGTGTGGGGGGGGGGGGCGAGTGTGGGGTGTTGTGGTGGAAAGCAAAATGAGTGGGGTGGGTGGTTGTGCTTGGTTGTTGTGGGTGGTGTGTTTGCTGAAAAGTGTTAATCATATTGCAACTTCTCTACACCCGCATCGCCCACCATGCACGGCTTCCACGTGTTGAGGCTCAACGTGCCAGGTGTGTGTGTGTGTGTGTGTGTGTGTGTGTGTGTGTGTGTGTGTGTGTGTGTGTGTGTGTGTGTGTGTGTGTGTGTGTCTGTGTGTGTGTGTGTGTGTGTCTGTGTGTGTGCGTGTGTGTCTGTGTGTCTGTGTGTGTCTGTGTGTGTCTGTATGTGTCTGTATGTCTGTATCCGTGTCTGTGTGTGTCTGTGTGTGTCTGTATGTCTGTATCCGTGTCTGTGTGTCTGTGTGTGTCTGTATGTCTGTATCCGTGTCTGTGTGTCTGTGTTTGCATGTGTGTCTGTGTCTCCGTGCGTGTGTCTCCGTCTGTATGTCTGTGTGTGTTTGTGTGTGTTTTCGTGTCAATATCCACATTCCACTCCCCCACTCCTTCCACCACCACCCCCACTCCTTCCACCCCTGCCTAAACCCTCCCCCCAAGCCCCTCCCACTCGCCCTTACAACAAACTCACCTGCCTCCTTGCACATCTTCTCCGTCCCGCCCCCCCCCCCACCTCACCCCACTTGCAGTGCCTGGCAGCATTGTGCACAACGATGAGACGAAGAAGTCTGCGATCCATTCGTTGTACATCAAGGTGCTGTGAGCGATCCGTTGCAACGTGCCTGCCTGATCTCCTCTACATTCTCTCATTCATTCAGTCCACTAACACGGCCCATGCTCACCCTCTCCCAACCTATTGTTCCCAACAGGAACATGTGCTGAAGAAGCCCGTGGCGGAGCTTCCTGCGAAGCGAACCCTCTTTGTGCTGAACCTCCCCGTCTCCGCAGAGGTGCGCGTGCAATTTCATCATGCTGGTGGTAGGCGTGTGGCTCGCACACTCTGCACCGTCCGTTCTGACCCACGCACGTTAACGCAGCACATGCACCACACACACACACACACACACACACACACACACACACACACACACACACACACACACACACACACACACACACACACACACACACACACACACACACACACACACACACACACACACACACACACACACACGCATCAACGTTCACATAAACATGCGAAACACGCAACGACATACACACATTTTGCAAATGTCGACAAAGTTTGTGAAGCCTGTGCGCTTGACGCCAAGGCGGACGACGTTTGGTGGCGCAATAACAAACTGCTTCTTCTCGCCGCCAGCGAGCTCGGGGTTCTTGGCGCGCATGATGGAGAACACGTTGTCCAACAGCTGTCACCACACACAAGCGCACGTGTGTGAGAGGGAAAGAGGGAGAGTGTGCGTGTGTGTGTATGTGTGTGTGTGAGCATGTGTGAGAGAGTGTGTGCGTGTGTGCGTGTGTGTGTGCGAGTGCACGCGTGCGTGCGTCACCGTGATGAAATGAAATGCAAACACCCATGTGCATGCGTGCATGCATGCTGCCCGTGTCGCACCTCCTCGTATGTGTGCTTGATGTCGCCCTCGTCCATGTCCTGCTCTGCTGTGCCGACTTCCTTCAGTGTCAACTTCTTGCTCGTCTTCTTCTTCTTCTTGCGAGACATGTCAAAGCTGAGCGCCCCAAGCTCTGTACACCAAAGAACGAGAGCATGTCAGAGGAGAGAGCAGTATGCAGAGTGAGGGAGAGCTGAGATACCAGTGCACCAGCTCGGACATGGGCACGGACATGGGCAGGGGCACAAACATACACACGAACACGCACGATAGATGAAAGACGGGGACATGACACAAGGAGCACGTAGCACAAGACGCACACGTGCACAAAAACAAACGAATACGTAGACAGGCACACCCGTGAACACACATCACATCCACACACACACACACACACACACACACACACACACACACACACACACACACATGTGCGCACATACACACACGTACGCACCGTCTGCAATGTCGTCTGCCTTGCGCTTGTTCTTGAGGAACTTTGACCAGTCGATATCGCCCGTGGACAGGAGCTGCACGTACTTGTCCCCGGAGATGTCCTCCAAATCGGAGGGCTTCATGGTAACATCCTTGACAACTGTCTTCTTCGGTGGCGCCTGCTCGGATGCGGCGGCCTGCTCCTCCTCAGCAGCAGGGGCGGCCTCCTTGGGCGTCTCTGTCACCGCCGCATCTGTGCTGGACGCTGCGTTCAGGTCTGTGTTGAATAGTTGTGGTGTGATGTGAGCGTTGGAAAATGAGAGAATGAAGGTACAGCACAATGCAGCACTTTGCTGAAATGAAAAGCAACGGACAGTAGTGACGCACACCCCCTGTAGCATACAACGCGACACACACACACACACGCCACACGCGACACACCATGCACGACACACCATGCACGACACACCATGCACGACACACACCACAATGCACGCATGCAAGCAAACCTTTGTCTTCGAGGGAAACAAGCTTCTTCTTTTTGCGCTTCTTCTTCATGGAAGGGTCAAACGCAAACGTGTCAACGTCGTCCATCTTCGTGGGATCACTCATGACCGGCTGTCTGTCTGTCTGCTTTGGTGTGCTTTGACTGCGGCTGGTGGGGTGTTGATGGGTGTGTTCGCTCTCTGGTTCGCCTTCACGTGTGTGGAAATCGGTGTTGAAGAAAATTGTCGAATGTTTCCCACCATTCATCGAACGTAACTGCGCGGGAAGGGATGCTTTGTAGAAGTCACAGGTTCAAGTCCATCACAGCAAGCGCATCGCGGATTTTTTTTTTGGCGCAACACACTCGCTCTGCAAAGAAAGAAAGAAAGAAAGAAAGGACACTGCCTGCAGGCACGCACACGTGTCCAACTCAAGGTCAAACGTAGCGTGCACACGTAGCGTGCGCATGCGAGGCAGCGTGACCGCGTATGTACAAGAGATATGAGATAACAACAACGGCAGCTATGCACAGCAAGACACCAAGACAGCACAATCCCACGATCCGTGGCACACACACACACACACTCGCACACACACACACACACACACACACACACACACACACACACACACACACACACACACACACACACACACACACACACACACACACACACACACACACACTCGCACACACAGCACGCGCATGGTCACGTAGACAACGTGGCAACATTGGAAAAAGACAATACTGCAGAGACGACGCAACACCACTAAGCAAAGACGGCGTTGTGAACCGCGTTGAAGATGGCATCGAGCAAAGAAGAAGAGGCAGCCACAGATTCATCAAAGACGACACTTGCATCAAACATGTCAAAGGCGTCGTCCCACGCCGCCACATCAGGCAGCGCCTGCAGCGCCTGTAGCGCTTGAATGGACGAGGGCATCGCCTCGCTCAGCGCAAACAGCACCTGCGTCATGTTCAGCGTGTAGGCCACGCCAGACAGGAGGATGGTCGAAGACAACACGCCCAGCGCCGCCAACTCTGCGCGCCTGGCCTGGATCCAGATGTACGCAATGTTCCACAGCTCATTCTGCTCCCAGCGACGGCGAAACTCGGCGTGCTGCCTCTGTATCGTCACCTCGATGTACGGATGTATGCGGGCGAGCACCGCCGGCAGGTGGGCCTCCAAGGGCTCCACCTCTGCCAGCGGCTTTGACATGAGCAGCGCCAGCCAGTCGTCATCGCTGCGCGGCGCATCATCTTTGCCCGCATGCGACGTTGCTGGTGCTGCTGATGTGGTTGGTGTTGCTGTTGCTGCTGTTGTTCCTACTGCTTTTGTTGCTGTTGCTGTTGGTGTGTCGGGAAAGTCATCTTGCAAGATGTCGGGGTCTGTCTCACGAAGCAGGCACATGGCGTTCCAGTACCCGAGGTAGAAGATGAGGCGGCAGATGGGCAGCGGTGGCGGACGCGCGCACCACATGTAATGCAGGTCTATGGAAGGCGTGAGCACACGCTTGTCACCTTCAGCGGCACACCCGCAACCACAGGTCGGGTGCCACGCCACCAGCAGCGTTTTGCTGTCATCAATGTCCTCATCGGCCTCTGCCACATGGCTGCCACCGTCGTCAGCACCCTTGTCGTCGCGCTGGTCTTTCTTGAGCGGGCGTGTTTCTTGACTCGTTTCTTGGCCCTGTGTTGATGATGCAATGTCTCCACTGTGCGTGTCCTGTTGTTGCTGCTGCTCTTGTTGTTGGTGTTGGTCATCTTGTTGTTGTTGTTGTTGTTGTTGTTGTTGTTGTTGTTGTTGTTGTTGTTGTTGTTGTTGTTGTTGTTGTTGTTGTTGCTCGTCTTGTTGCTGTTGTTGTTGTTGTTGCTCTTCTTGTTGCTCGTCTTGTTGCTGATGTTGCAGGATGGCCATGTACGCCAGCAAGGCCGAGTATGAGAACCACGATGCACGCCCATTTGCATCTGCTGCAGTGGGCGGTGGCACGGAACCAGCACCACCCTTGGTCGTCGTGCCAGCCACTTCTTGCTTCTGCTGGCTCTGCTGTCGCTTGGCGCGTCTGGCGGCTGCCACGCGCTCGGGCTTCGGATGAGGGTCTGTCAGCACCCCGTCCAGAAACTGCCCCACGTGGCCCTGGATGCTGCGCGGGAGCAGGCCCGAGATGAACGGGAGGTGCGCTGACGCCATCAGCGTTTCTTTGAACTGCTGCACGCTCTCGAACGTGCTAAAGTACTCGGGCACAAGACGCGTCAGGTCCCATTTCGAGCAGGACACATGCAGCCGAGAGCTGCATTTGGTGTGGGCGTCCTCCGGGCACAGGCTGTCCAAGGTGTTCTCCAGTAGCGGGCCAATGCGCGCAGAGTCCTCCGCCACAGCCTCGCAGTGCGAGATCATGCTGTCTGCGGATGCGTAAGGTGACAGCCCCACCAAGGCGTTGGCGCCCACCAGCGCCCCTGCAGACGCCCCGTAGAAGACTGTCTCCGACGTGTCTGTGAACCGCTCCAAGCACGCCATCACTCCAAAGTGGTACGCCGACATGATCCCGGACGCGTTGTAGCTCACGTGCTTGAACCGCTTCCGCCGCTGTTGCGGAAGCGCACACGCCGGTGGCGGGGCTGACGTAGAGGAGGAAGGAGAAGAACAAGGTCGAGACATGGCCTGCGTCTCTGTCTAACGCTGTTCATGTGATGATGTGATGATGATGATATGAGGTCGTCTTGTTCTTTGCTGTGGGTGGTGTGATCTGTGGGGGTGGTCTGTGGGAAATGAAGGCTGATGGTGATGGTGATGGTGATGGTGAATGCAAGAGGGGCAGGAGAAGCGGGAGGCAGAGAGGGAGGGAGGAATGTGTGTTTGTGTTTGTGGTGTGGTGTGTTGTTTGTGTTTGGATTTGCGAGCGGCAACAACAACGACGGACGAAGGAAGAAGAACGAAAAACGTAGAAAAGGTCGAAAATCAATTAAAGTCATGGCGAATATTCGTGGTCTGCCTTGTGCCATGGGCTGTCCTCCCTCGTCGTCCTATAAATAGCACATCACCACACTGCCGCACTGCACGTTGACCAACCACCACCAACCAACAAACCAACCAACCACCAACCATGGACGAGGAAGCAAGGAAGGCGCTTGTGCTTCGGCTGTTTGACATTGGGGCCGTCAAGTTTGGCACGTGAGTGAGCCAGTCAAAGTGGCATGAGTGGTAGTGTGTGCCATCTTTACCCAAGCGCCAGTCAAACCAGCCCCTGCTTGTCTGTGATTTGCTCCTCCTCCTGCTTCTTTGTTCACCTGTTGCTTACACAGACACGTGCACTGCCACACTGATTCACTGCCACACTGGTTCACTGCCACACTGGTTCACTGCTGCTGCGCGACTGCAGGTTCACGCTGAAGAGTGGCATCGAGTCGCCCGTGTATGTGGACTTGCGGGTGCTCGTCTCCCACCCTGATGTGCTGGACCAAGTTGCCAACGCTCTTCTGTCTGCCGTCTCCTCCGTCGAATATGACACCCTGTGTGGCGTCCCATACACAGGTGCGTGCGTGCGTGTGTGTGTGTGTGTTGAGGTATTGCATGAGGGGGGGGGGGTATTTCCCTTCCATCGATGGTCTTTCCCTTCCATCCACGTGTACTCGCAACTCGCATCGCGCTCTGTCGCTGTTGTCTGTGATGTATACTTGTGTACTTGTCTGTTGATCTCTTCTGTTGATCTTAGCTGCTGATCTTGGCTGCGTGTGACCATGCGTACTGCTCACGTGTACTGGATGGTATAACTTTGCTCAGCGCTTCCATTTGCGACACTGATGTCCTCAAAGACGGGCAAGCCCATGCTTATGAGGAGAAAGGAGGTGAAGGCATACGGCACGAAGAAGATGATCGAAGGCGTCATCACACCTGGTGCGTGCATATGTGTGTGTGTGTGTGCGTGTACGTGTACGTGTATGTGTAATGGCCGTCTGTGTAGAGTTGCTTCATGTCTCGGAGGAACGGAGTGCTCAAACAAAGCTGTCGCGCGTGCGCTTTTGTGCACCAATACCGCAACAGGACAACGGTGTTTGATCGTGGAAGACCTTGTGACGTCTGGCCTGAGCGTCTTTGAGACCGTGGAGCCATTGGAGCGCGAACAGTACGTCATATCAGTCATGCCTTGTCATGTCACGTGTGCATGTGATCCTGTGCCCGTATGTTGCAATGCATGCGCAGTTGTGTCGCATGCAGTGATCAAGAATCTTTGATTCACTTTGCCTGCTTGCTATGCCAACGCCTTAGGTTGATTGTGAACGACGTTGTGGTGCTGCTGGACCGTGGTCAAGGCGGCCGCAAGAACATCGAAACACGCGGCAAGAACCTCCGCTCCGTCCTCACACTCGCCCAGGTCGGCCAACGTTTACGTGCGTGTGTGTCTGTGTGTCTGTATGTCTGTGTGTCTGTGTGTCTGTGTGTCTGTGTGTCTGTCTGTGTCTGTGTGTTTAAGGAAACTTGTGAATATGAGTAAGGCTGTGCGCATACGTGTGCATGTGTGCGCATGGCCGTTTGTTTTCTGCTGTTGCAGCAAACTACCCCCAGCTCACCTCATCACCTCTCTTCCCTCACTTGGTCCGCACGTGACCACACGTGCGCAGGTGCTTGATGTGCTGGTTGCAGCAGGCAAGGTTGACACGGTCACTGCTGACCGCGTCACAGCGTTCATCCGTGACAACCAGGTGCATGTGCACATATGCATGGTTGTTGTCTGTGTTGTGTGTTGTGTGTTGTTGCAGTTGTGCAACGTGCCAACGTCACACTGATGTCGATGCACACCAACTGCAGGTGACGGTGACGGACAAGCTGGAGGCACAGGTGCTGCCGACGAAAAAGGCAAAACTCCAACGTATGTTGCAGCTGCCATGCATGCAGGCAGCGTTGACGCAACCACCCATTTGTGACTGTAGCTGATTTGATGCCACTGCACTGGCTTGTGATTACTTTCACTTCTGCCCACACCTTCCGCTCTCGGTCTTTCTCCACAACAATGGCTTGTGATTACTTTCACTTCTGCCCACACCTTCCGCTCTCGGTCTTTCTCCACAACAATGGCTGACCACTTTGCCTTGCTGTGCTTGCAGGCACGCCCTTTGAAGACCGGGCGAAGCTGTGCAAGAACGCCGTTGGTGTTGCCCTCTTCTCTCTCATGGTGCGCAACTATCGGTTGCTCTGGAACCTGTATGCTTGTGTCTGTCCGTCCGTCTGTCCGTCCGTCTGTCTGTCTGTCTCTGTCTGTCTGTTTGGCTATCCGTCTCTGTGTGCGTGTGTGTGTGAAACGAATGGTGTACTGCACCCACACCTCACACTAACCCTCGTTCACACCGCGGGCGTTTGCATGTGTGTTCAGGCACGAAAGAAGACGAACTTGTGCGTCGCTGCCGATGTCGTCGAGGCAAAAGCCCTTCTCGACCTCGCAGACGGTATACATGTGCACGCACGCGCGCGTCAATGGCGACACATGGGCTGCTGGTTGCAAATGTTCATAGCCCATCCATACGCGCACGCCCTCCACCATCATCTTCACGCTGATACATTCACATACATGCGCCTGTGTCCTCGCCGTGCGCAGCTGTTGGCCCCCAGATTTGTGTCCTGAAAACGCACTGCGATATTGTGCGCGATTGGACGGACGAAACCGGAACACAACTCCGATTCCTCGCAGACAAGGTTGGATTGGATTGATCTGTGTGGCTGTATATGTGTGTGTGTGTGTATGCGTGTGTGTGTGTCTGCGTGCGTGCGTGCATGTTTGTGAGTGATCGTGTCTGTTTCTATGTGTCCTGTGCTTTCAGTTGCACTTCGCCCTCACACCACATCTCCGCCATCAATTCACATTCCCCACAGCACGATTTCCTCATCTTTGAGGATCGCAAGTTTGCGGACATTGGCAACACCGTTGTGCAGCAGTGCAGTGGCGGCGTTCACCGCATTGCGTCATGGGCTCATTTCACAAACGCGCATGCACTTCCAGGCGACGGTGAGGCCTCACATGCATCCGCACCATCGTGTGTTTTTGTTTGTGTGGTTGCATGCGTGTGTGTGTTTTTGTTTGTGTGCATGTTTGTGTGTGCATGTCTGTGTGTGGTTGTGCATGTGTGTGCGTGTATTCGTGTGTGGTTGTTTCCGTATTTCTATGTGTGAACGTGCATGTCATCCTCACCTCCTCACAACCACCACCACCATCACCACCACCACCATTAGGAATCGTGGACGGATTGCGGACGGCGGCCGGCGTTGAGAATCACGGTCTCCTCCTCCTCGCACAAATGAGCAGGTGCTGAACACAACGTTATGCGCTGTGTCACGCTGTTACTGTTTGTCTGTACCCACCGCTCACTATGTGAGCTCTCACATGACGCCCTGAACACATCATCATCATCATCATCATCACCATCACGATTCTCGCCATCACCATCGCCAGTGCCGGCAACCTCCTGAACAAAGAGTACACATCCGCGTGCGTCGAAATGGCAAAACGCCACACCGACTTCGTCTTCGGTGTGTGTGTGTGTGTGTGTGTCTGTCTGTCTGTCTGTCTGTGTGTGTGCATGCATGTGACTGGCTGCACGTGCGTTGTGTAATCGTTGCTCACGAGCAATTCGAATTGTCGACTCCAGGCTTCATTTCCCAAGAGCGCGTGATTGAGGGCTCTGAGGGCGATGCATTCGTCTACATGACGCCAGGTGGGCCGACTCGAAGGCAGCATAAATGACACACAACACACACACACACACACACACACACACACACACACACACACACACACACAACACACACACAACCACAAACAAACCACAAACTAACACAACCACATGCACAAACACAACCGCCTACATTCACATGCACAAACATTCACGTGCACATGACACCGTTTCGCTCACCCCAACCGTGCAAACGCACACACCGCCCACACCAGGCGTGAAGCTGAGCCAGGAGGGTGATGGACTTGGGCAGCAGTACAACACGCCCACAGCGGTGATTGCAGATCGCAACAGCGATATCATCATCGTTGGCCGCGGCATCTACAAGTGAGTAGTCGTGATCGTCGTGGTCCTGGTCTTAATAGTTGCTGGTTGATCGATACGCTGGTTGCAGTTGATGGTGCGTGCATCTGGATCCAGCCCTCGCCCCCCCCCCTCTCTCTCTCTCTCGTTGTTGGCAACAGCAGGCTCACGTGGACACGTGCTTTGGTTTCAGGTCCGACAACCCCGCGGCCACTGCCGCCATCTACCGCAAGCAGGCCTGGGACGCACTCGCATAGCCAACACGCTGTGTGTGCGTGTGTGCGTCGTGAACTCGTGTGGATTTTTCTCTCTGCCTCTCTGTCTTGTCTGTCCCCCGTGCGCCCTGTTGCTTTTGGCTTGTTGCGTTCATTTTGGCCCGGGTACACCGAGCGAAACAGCAAATTAGTCGAAGAAAACACAACTGTAAGCACGCGCAGTATCATCACAGTGTACCCAAGCGTTGCAGATCCCAAACAAAACAACTGCTGTGCATGACGCAACAAGCATCACAGCAACAGCCAACATATGTAGCTGTAACAGCAACAATCGCCGCAGGGCAGCATCACCGCCACCGCAGCAGTCACTCTCCGAACATACAAACAATCACGCAGGAGGAAGAGGAAGGACGTGTGTGTTTAACTGTCCCCATGACTGGTGTCGGTGTGTAACGCGTCCATCTCTGCTGCAAAGACGCGTGCTTCATCAGCGAGTGTCTGCAGGGCGTCCGCAATCCTCCACATGGCGCTTTGTGTCTTGGCGTTGAGTGGAAGCCCGGTCCGCAACTCCTCCAGGTGGCGCGACCACGACACAATCGGGGCACGCGCGCCGTGGTGGTGACTCATCTCCTCTCCCATGAACACGTGGTACACCACCAGCACCAACAGCGTCCACACCAGCAGGGAGAGCACCGTGATGCGGTGGCGTCGCCACAGTCGCAGGAGCGTGCGCATGTCGTAGCGAAGCGAGCGTGTGTTGGGCACAATCCCCCACTGCTTCAGCTGCGTCAGCACCCACCCATCCGCGCCTGCGAGCGCTGCGCGTCCCTCTGGCGTGTCATCGTCGGCGCTGGCCTCAGTCTCGCTGCTGCCCGTGTCATCTTCATCAGACAGGCCAGCACCGGTCCCTTCCACCTCGCTAGCACTGCCCTCATCCCCACTCTCGTCTTCTTCTTCTTCCTCTTCCCCTTCCTCTGCATCACTTCCTTCTTCTCCTTCTCCTGCTTCACCTTCATCGCCAACAACGCCAGCCTCAAGTGCGCTGCGAGCGTCGCCGTCACCGCCCTCCAGCGCGTCGGTGGACCTTCCCAATTGGGAAAGCGCATCCTCCCCGCGCATTGACGTTGCTCGACTGAGATTGCGCGATGACGCCGCGGTGGAGCTCTCCGCACCAGTGATGGCCGCCTTTGCATACTCTGCAATTGGAACAAGGGGACAAGAGTGAAACGAAAAAGGGGGGGGGGAGGTGAAACGACAGGTGGTGAGGACAACGTGAAATGAAAGGTGGTAAGGAGAAGGTGAAGCGAAAGCGTGTGTGTGTGTGTGTGTGTGTGTGTGTGTGTGTGTGGTGTGTGGTGTGTGTGGGTGTGTGTGTGTGTGTGTGTGTGTGTGTGGGTGTGTGTTTGTAAACTTGGATACAACCACTCAACGCCAACAACACGTCCATCGCCCGTATGTGGAGTTCTTACTGAGCAGCAGCTGTCGGACGAGGCCGTAGTGTCTCTTGAGACCCGACGAGCTGTTGGAGTCGATGAGCTGGCGCGTGATCGCCCACGGCCGCTTCTTCCGGTAGCTGACGATGATGGTGGTGGTGGTGGTGGTGGTGGTGATGGTGATGATGATGATGATGATGATGATGATGATGATGATGATGATGATGGTGAGGTGCGGCTCAGGCTTTGAGTGCAAGGACAGCATGAGTACGAAAGCACATGCATCGGACATATGCACGGCCACAACTACACACACACACGCACACACGCACACATGCACACGCACACAGCCACAACAGCCCGAACAACTCACTGGGTCTCTGTGCAGACTCTGACGCGGCACAGGTTTGCAGCGACGCGGGAAATGATGGTTCGCGTCTTGGTGTAGAAGTTGTCGCCGTAAGGGACGTGCGGCGTAAATACATCCGCATCCACTGCACGCACATCACACGCACCAATGGGGAGAGTGTGAGACGATGTTCATGGCGCGTTGCGGTACAATGGACGCACACACACACACACACACACACACACACACACACACACACACACACACACACACACACAACACTGCAGAGTGGCGCACCAATCCAGTACTGGCCCGGGACATGTGGGACAGGCTCGACCTGACGCTCCTCGCCACGGGTGGTGCTCGGACCAAAGCTGTAGTCAAGCTGCAGCGTGTACGACAAATCCCGCACGCGCTTGCCGTCCTCGCCAACCGCCCACTCCCCAATCTCAACCTGGGCAGGAGAAAGAGAGAGTGTGTGTGAGTGAGAGAGTGGGTGAGTGAGTGAGTGAGTGAGTGAGTGAGTGAGTGAGAGGGAGATTGTGAGAGGAGAGTGGGTGAGTGGGTGAGTGTGTGTGCGTGTGTGTGTGATGCATAAGAGAGCCAGCGTTTCTGTGAGTACGCAAGAAATACACTGCTTCAAATTAAATCACAGTCCAACGCACATATACAGCACCCCCAAACAATCCCCCTCCCCTCCCCCTCCCGTGTGTGAACGCACGTTGGTAGTTCCGCGCTTCTTGTAGAGCTCCTTGAACATGCGCGAGTATGTGAACATGAAGCGGGCAGCCGTCTCGACAGAGCACGGCAACTCAACGTCCATAAATATGTTTCCAAAGTCGCACTGCAGCGGGGGCGGGATGTTGTGCTGGGCCGCAATGTCGCCGCCTTCGGACGGCGTGAACGAGGATGTGCGGGAATGGCGGATCTTACGGCCCTTTCGTGTCTTTCCTGCACTGCTGCCTTTGCTGGTGCTCCCCTTGCCACTGCTCTTCCTCCTGCGTTCGCTGTGCTTCCTGTCCCTTCTTCCTTCGCCCCCCTCTGCCGCTGCTGTTGTGGCTGTGGATGGGTGCTCGTCATTGGTGCCAACAGCAGCACTGCCGCTGCTCGCACGGCTCCGGGCCACGTTCACCTCCACCGCCTCG